GGCCCCAATCCACCCCCCTGATGCCGGCTCCCAAACCCCCAGAACCTTAATCCACACCCCTAAATCTCCCTGAACCCCAATCTCCTGAGCCCCCCCAGTTTCCAAACCCTTATCTCCCCATCGCTAACCCACAAATCCAGCCTGTCCCCTAAGCCTCAGTCCACACCCCTGTGAGCCTCGATCTCATCTCCTGCACAGCCACCCCCCCAAGTCACCCTGAACCGCCAGCTTCTGAACTCCCCAATCCCCAGCCCCGGCCCCTCCATGACCCTGGGTGCCCCAGACCTCGGGCAGCTGCCCCCCACCGGGCTCTCTGACCCCCTCCTTGCCCCCTGCAGCCCAGTCTGTCCGCATGGTGGTGTCCTACGCCGAGTACCAGCCCCACCTCGTTGACCAGGCTGCCCTCATGCTCAGCGTCTCGGGGAAGGTGGCTCAGACCGGGCAGGTACTAGCCAAGCAGCACAGCTTCCGCCTGCGCACGCCGGACCTGACGCTCACGGTAAGGGGTCCGGACGCCTGGGTTCTCTCACCATGGGGGGAAACCTGACGCTCCTGGTAAGGGGGCCCGGACACCTGGGTTCTCTGACTGCCTGGGGGCCCAGACACCGGTGTTCCCTGACTTTGGGGGGCGGCCCGGTCGCCTAGGTTCTCTGACTGTGGGGGGCGGCCCGGACACCTGGGTTCTCTCACTATGGGGGGACCTGATGCTCACAGTAAGGGGGCCCGGACGCCTGGGTTCTCTGACTGTGGGGGATGGCCCAGATCCCTGGGTTCTCTGACTGCGGGGGGAAGCCGGGGTTCTCTGACTATTGGGGGGGAAGCCGGGGTTCTCTGACTATTGCGGGGACCTGATGTTCATGGTAAGGGGGCCCAGACACCTGGGTTCTCTGATTGCAGGGGATGGCCTGAACGCCTGGGTTCTCTCACTAAGGGGGGACCTGATGCTCACAGTAAGGGGGCCTGGACACCTGGGTTCTCTGACTGTGGGGGGCGGCCCAGATGCCTGGGTTCTCGCACTATCGGGGAGGGGGAAACCTGAGGTTCACGGTAAAGGGGGGTCCCGACGCCTGGATTCTCTCTCAGATACCTGGGATTGCTCGGAGGCGGGGGGCTGTGTGGGGGAGGTCGAAGCTGGCCCAGAAACCTGGGTTCTCACCTCTCTCTCTCTCAGGTGCTGGGCCCAGCTGTGGTGGGGAAGGAGACGCAAGTGCAAGTCGTCTTCAAGAACCCGCTGCCCCAGACACTGAAGAGTGCTGTCTTCCACATGGAGGGGTCGGGGGTGTCCAGCCCCAAGGCCACGAACATAGGGTGAGTGATCCCCCCACTCCCCTCTGCTCCCACTCCTCTCTCAGAGCCAGGGATGGAACCCAGGAGTCCTGGCTCCCAGTCCCCCCCCCCCCAACCACTAGACCCCACTATCCTCCCTGAGCCGGGGAGAGAACCCAGGAGTCCTGGCTTCCATCATCCCCCTGTTCTAACCTCTAGACCTCACTCTCCTCCCAGAGCCCGGGATGGAACCCAGGATTCCTAGCACCCAGCCCCCTTCCCCCTGCTATAACCACTAGACCCCCCTTCCACTCCCAGGACTGGTATGGAACCCAGGCATCCTGACCCATTCTCCTCTCCCCACAGGACCATCGGCGGGCACCAGACGATCTCCTTCCGCCAGACCTTCGTGCCGCTCCGGGCCGGGCGGCGCCAGCTGGTGGCCAGCCTGGACAGCCCGCAGCTCTCCCAAGTCCACGGGGTGGTGACCGTGGATGTGGCCCCGGCCGCGGGGGGCCAGCCGGCCCCTGCTCGCAGCTCCCCAGCCCGGGAGGCCCCCGCTCGCAGCTCCCCAGCACGGGGCTCCCCAGCCAGGGGCTCCCCAGCGCGGGGCTCCCCCTCACGCCAGCCAGACCCCCGGAACTCCCCCGCCCGGAACCGAGAGCCAGGCCGTGCCGGCTGAGCCCCACAGGAGGCAAAGGGGTGCTCTGTGCCGCGTGTGGGAGCGGGGCCTGGGTGTCTGCCCACCCCCCGCCACCTCCAGCAGTGTTGAAATGCAGCTCCATCCATCCACACTCCCCCTTCATCCCTCCCTCCCCCTCCCTCCACTCATCCCCCTCCCCCTCCATCCTCCCACACCTGCCCCCCTCTCTGTCTCCATCCATCCACCCCCCCAGCCCGTCTCTGAAGCCCCCTCAGCTGCCGTCCTCCCTGCCGCTGACCCATCGCCCCTGCTTTCCACCCCCCAACCCTCAGACAGAGGGAACAGCTCTTCCGGGACTCCGGGGTTCCCCCTTAGCTGCTCCCCCCCAGCAGGCCCCCTGCTGCTCCCTGCCCCCCATCCTGGGGGCTCGGGCACGACAGCGGAGGTGGATCCAGTCCAGGGGTTGATTTGGGGATGGGGGGGGGATCCCCAGCTGGGGAGCTGGCCCTGGGCTGCTCCCGAGCGGGGGGGAGTCCGGGGGGGGCGTCGGGCTCTGATCGTTATTTACAATAAAGGGTTTGCCCCAAAATCCTGCTTCCAACTTTTTTATTCCCCCCCGTTGGGCAGAATCCAGCAGGGGCTCAGAAGTGGGGGGCAGGGACCCGCTGGGGGGGGCGAGGGGGCCCTGGGGGGGAGGGGGGATCCCCAGCGGGGGGGCGGGGCGGGGTCTCGCCAGCACAACGGGGTGGAGCCGAGATGGGGACCGGCCGGGGGCTGTAGCTGGTGGGGGCGGGGTCTCCTAGGGCAGAGGGGCGGGGTTTCAGTGGGAGGGCGCGGAGCGAGAAGGGGCGGGGCAAGGCTGCGGCGCCGCGGCGGGAGCCAGGTTAATTCGGCCGCCTGTAGCCCCGTCTCGCGCAGCCCGGCCCGGAAGTGACGTAGGGAAACCGGCCCGAAGGCGGCGGAGGGCGCCGCGAAGAGCCGCCAACGGCCCGGGCCGAGGCTAGGCATGGCCGGAAGTGACGTTCGACAAAACGGGTGAGCGGCGGGGGGGCTAGTGGGGGGCAGGAGGGGCGGGGCCAGCGCTGGACGCGGGGCTAGAGCAGGGGAGGGACCGTTGGGGTTGGCAGTTGGGCGGCGCTAGAGGAGGGGCGGGGCCAGCGGCTAGATGTGGGGGCGGGGCTAGAGCAGGGGCAGGGCGGAGGGGCGGGGCTAGCGGCTAGATGTGGGGGCGGGGCTAGATGTGGGGGAGGGGCGGAGCAGAGGGGGCAGAGGGGCGGGACTAGAGCAGGGGAGGGGCCATTGGGGTTGGCAGTTGGGCGAGGCTAGAGGAGGGGCAGGGCGGAGGGGCGGAGGGGCGGGGCCAGCGGCTACAGGTCGGCCGGGGCTAGAGCCGGGGCAGGGTGGAGGGGCGGGGCCATTGGGATTGGCAGTTGGGCGGGGCTAAAGGAGGGGCAGCACAGGGCAGTTGGGCTCGAGATGGGGCAGGGGGCGGGGCTAGAAGGGGGGCGGGAGCAGGGGTGGGGCAGGACAGGGTGGGGCTGGGGGGCCTGGAGGTGGGGTGGGGGAGACACTCTGGGCGCCCCCACTCACTAAGCCCCCCACTTGTCTCCCCCCAGGCAGGCGGCGGGGGGCATCATGCCTGCCCCCCCCGGCCAGGACCCCTGCGCCCCCCTGCGCCTGGCCGCGGCGGCCGCCTGGCAGGTGATGCGGGCGCGGCAGGTGCGCGACTTCCCGCGGGTGCTGGGGCTGCTGGAGGCCGTGGGGCAGGCGGCCCCCGACGTCGTCTTCTTCCGCCACTACGCCCGGCTGCGCCTGGGCCTGCAGGCTGCGGTAAGGGGGGGGCAGCCCCCATGCCACCCAGCCTCCCCCCCCTAGCTCCGGCCCGCTAGCCCAGCATGCTCTGCTCCCCGCAGGTGATCATGGGGATGCTGCAGGAGGAGCAGCCGGACGGGAAGATCTACGACGCCGTGGACACCTACTTCCCCGAGGGCGAGCACCAGCGCCACCCGCTGGCCGTGAGTCCTGCCCTGCGGCGGGGGAGGGCTCCCCGGGCACCATGTGGCACTCGAGGGCGCTGCGCTGCAGGGAGCGGGGCGGGGGGATCAGCTAGGGGCGCTCTCCCCTCGCCATCAGACCTGGCCCCAGCATGGCGCTAGGGGGCGCTGTGCTGCAGGGAGCGAGGCGGGGCGGGGGCTCAATAGGGGGCGCTCTCCCCCCACAGTCAGTGCTGGCGCTAGGGGGCGCTGTGCTGCAGGGAGACGGGCGGAGGCTGGTTCCTGCGCCGCGCTGCGCCCTAGAGGTGGCTGCATTTCAGCAGCTGGTTGGACCCAGGCGCTCACGTCCTGCTGCCCCCCGCCCAGACCGCCCGGGACCTGCGCCTGGTGGGCGAAGCCCAGGAGACCTTCCGGGAGCTGGTGCTGGGGCTGCTGAGTGACCGGCAGCGGCGGGAGACCTACGTGGAGGTAAGCAGGGCTGGGGCGTGGCCTGCAGGGGGGCTGGTTGGGACGGAGGTGCAGGGGCTCTGGAGGATACAGGGGGTGGGGAATTGGGGTGTGTTGGGGGCACAGGTGAGGCTGGTGGGCTGTGCTGGGGAGCGCAGAGGGTTGGAGTGGTGTGCTGTCCTGGAGTGCAGGAGGTTGGAGGGCACAGGGAGCTGGGGGGCTGTGCCAGGGGGGCGGGACGGTGGGGGGGGTGGGCCCGGGGGCGGGGAGGTGGGGGGGCGCGGGGGGCTGGGGGGCTGTGCCAGGGGCCCGTGCCGGGGCCTGGGGACTGACATCTGCGCTCTCGCGGCAGGAGCAGCTGGAGGTCGAATACGGGGAGCCCTTCCTGGGGGGGCTGGAGGGGCTGCTCTACGAGTATCTGGGGCGCCTGGAGAGCACCCTGCCCCCACCCCAACTCCAGCAGGTATGGGGAGGGAATGGGGGGGAGGGGGAAGGAAGTGGGGGGTGAGTTCTGGATCCCGCGCTCTAATCCCCCCCCCTTCCCCCAGCTGCAGGAGGCTGCCTGGAGCGAGTGCCCCCTGGCCGGCCCCCCCCAGCGCCCCTCGGAGCTCAGCGTCCTGGCCCAGTACCTCATGGACATGGGCCACCACCAGCACACGGGTAGGCGGGGGATTGGGGGGCAGGGCAGGTGGGTGGAAGAGTGGCACGCTGATGGGTGGGAGCCTCTGGGGGTGGAGCAGGTGGCTGGCTGGGAGCACGTTGGCGGACAGGGCACGTGGGTGGGTGGGAGCGTGCATTTAGGGGGCGGGGCAGGGCACGTGGGTGGGTGGGAGCGTTTGGGGGGGCGGGGCATGTGCGTGGGTGGGAGCATCTGGGGGCGGGACATGTGGGTGAGTGGGAGTGCCTGGGGGAGGGGCATGTGGCTAGGTGGGAGAGCCTGGGGGTGGGGCTCATGTGGAGGGGCGGAACTCATCCCAGGCTCCACCCACCTCCCCTCTCTGCCCCAGGCTCACCTGCCTTGCCGCTGGTAACCAGCACGCCCTCCCTGCCCCCAGTGCCCGGGACGCCGGGGTCCTGCCAGAGGCGGAGCCAGGAGGGGGCGGCGCCCGCACAGGAAGAGTGAGTGTGTCTCCCCCCCCAGTCCCTGTCCCCGCCCCTCTTCCCCCCCCCCCGCTCATCCCCTCCCCTCTCTCCCCCCAGGATGCCCCCTGACCTTGGTCTGCACTGCCAGCCGCCCGGAGAACAGGACCTGGGTAAGTACCGGCCGTTCGGAGAGGGGGGATCCCAGGCGTCCGGGTGGGGTCCCCTAACACACAGACTGGGACAGAGGGACTCCCGGGTCCAAGGGGGTGGATGTTGTCATTCCCTGGCGTTTTCCCCCTGCCCCCACAGGAGCAGGGGCCAGTCGTGAACCCAGGAGTCCGGGTATGCGTCCCCTCCCCCACCCCCATGCCAGAAGGAACCAGGAGCCTGGGTATGTCTCTGTCCCAGTGGTGAACCCTGGGGGAGGGGAACACATCTCCCCATCCCCACGCACCCCTGCGAGGCCGAGGATGGGATGAACCCAGGCGTCCGGGGCCACATGTGTAACCCCCCACTCCCTCCAGACACGAGCAGGGACATCGTGTGGGAGTCGGAAGAGGAGGAGAGCTGCAGCCCCCGCAGGAAGGTGAGTGACTTGGGGGGGGCAGGAGGCACTGCCAGGGCTCAGGCTGTGGGGCAGAGCAGCTCGGGGGGCTGGAGGCTCAAGGGGGGGTTGGAGCTCAGGGGCAGTCAGGGGTCACTCGGGAGGCCAGGCTATCAGGCTGGGCTTCAGGGGTCTCTTGGGGGGGTTCAGGAGTCACTTGGGGGGCCAGGCTCTCAGGCTGGGGTTCAGGGGTCACTCAGGGGGCCTGCTCAGACCCCATAACTCACCCCCCCATCACCCCCAGGCCAGCTACCAGCGCACGCAGTACAACACCCTGATCCCCACCTTCTGCGACCACCTGGACCCCCCCGGCGGGTGAGTGACCCTCCGTGTGCCCCAGGGGCAAGGGGCGCTCCCGTACCCCCCCTCACCCGCTCTCCCCCTCTCTCTGCAGGTGCCCTGGCTGCTGCGCTCCCGGGACCCTGCCCCCGCCCCACGGCACAGACGCACCAGCCTCCAGAGGGTGCCCCACAAAGCCCTTTATTGGTGACACCAAATAAACACAGTACATGATTCAGCCCGGTCCCCCCCGGGTCTCCATTGGGGGGTGCTCCATAGCCCTCTCTGGCAGAGTAGAGGGAGATGACTCTTGGGGGGATGGGCCCCCTGGAGAAGGCGGGGAGGGACTTGGGGGTCCCTTCTGCCACCCTCAACATCAGGGGCTGCTCCAGGGAATGGAATGATTGGGGAAAATTCGGGGATCCCTTGGCTCTGTCCCCTCCGTCCTGAGGGGCAGAGCTGAGCGCTGCTGCTGCCCCGCTTTCGGGAGGGGAATATTGGGGTGCCCAAGGCAGGGGGGTCCTCATGGCTGGGCCTCAGCCCCTCAAAGAGGGGGGATCAATGGGCAAAACTCTCCTCAGCGTGGGGCCTGACCCTCAAAGCTGGAGTTCATTATGGGGCCGCTGGATGTGGTGGGGTGCACTGGGGATCCGTGCCCCTGGATGTGGTGGGGTGCGCTGGGGGATCCCCGCCGCTGGATGAGCTGGGGTGCGCTCGGGGATCCCCGCCGCTGGATGA